TTCCACGGTCACGGGTCGGACATTTGTACAGAAAACACTTTTTTTTTTTAATTTAATTATAATGTACTCAACAATTCTAAATTTTGATAAAGCTACACCTAATTGACTATTATATGAGTTATTACAAAATACGAAACAAATTCCAGCTTACTTTTATTTGGAAAAAAGTCTGATTTATTTCTTCTGTCACGGGTGGGACAAAAAAAGAGCCTGCTTTTTGTAACAGATATATTTTACGGAAACTCTGCGAGTTTATTTCACTTTTCTGTATGAACTTGATGTCTTATAATAAGACAAAGAATGAGGAACACATACAAAACAAAAACTGCAAAAAAAATGGCTTTATTATAAAAAAAATCCGAAATTTTTCTGTCACGGATGGGACAACGTTTGTCACAGGTAGGACTCGTACGAGTTTTTATATGAAAAGGACCTTTTAGTGTGGTCCATATATAAAGATTAGTTATCAAAAAATATAAGAAACCAAGTCGGGGATAAATTCACTCACGTTTTATTTTAGGATGGTTCTGGTTAGGTAGTGTGCTAGAATTTTATAAAACAAAAACCTAAAACATTAGATTAACAAAATAAAAAACCAAAACAGGTCAAAATGTAATTTAGCTTAATCAGCTGACCACAAGGGTATATAGATAATGAACGATTCCTCCTTAGTCCCCTGCATCCTATAATACAATTTTATTAAAATCAGTCGAGTTTTACTATATATTTTTCCTACCAAATACTTGAATTATGGATCGAAAATTATTTGACAGTGCATTCAACACAACCTACCTTAAACTCAATTAAAAAATTTACTTAGAACTTAATTTCGAAACATAAAAAAGGTAATAAATATGCATTTAAAGCTTTAATTTGTTATTTTTTGGTTGATTCAAGATTTTTACAAATGTCTTATCCACACGTTTGTTACTTTTATAAAGAAAATTATTTTTGCACTGAGGTTCACTTTCCTATGGAACCTCCCATATAATAAAAAAGCTGATGCAGTATTTTATTTCATTTTGTTGCAAAATGTACAGATAAGACCATTTGATTAGCATGAGCTCGGAAAATGTTTGTTGCGTTTTTTAGGTTTTGAGTCAATATACTTTTGGAGAACGTATGCGATTTACCGGTACTTTTATGGCTTTGAATGGATATAAACACTAAACGAAAGACTCCCTTAATTATTGTCTGTACTTTTCACAATTTACATACTAATGAAGTCCTGCCTACCACCAAAAGCTATAGCTGTGCCACAAAATAGAGCTTAGTATTGTTTTAGAAATAAGCTTCGCATAAAATTTATAATTATTGAATTTTTCGAACAGAAAAAATGAATGACTTAATTATCGTTGGCGACCCAAATTCTTTAGATAGGAAACTGTACTTTTCGTAGGTCTTGAAGTCTTTTGGTAGGAAAACTACATGTATAAGTGGCAACACTGGCCATCGGTCTGTCTATATGCAGCACTAATATTTCTTCTGCTGGATAATGTCCACAACGTTTTTCATATCATGTTAGGATATGATATTTACAATAGTTAATCCCCACGAAATACATACAAAACTCTACAATTTAGAAAACGTTAAAAATAGAAAAAAGTTTAGCGTGTGTATTTGAATACTTATGTCGAGAAAAAATTTAGGGTGTGAAGAATTTTTTTTATGCACCCGCTAGAAACCGCTAAATCGCGATTTTTACTATAACTTTCTTACATACTATCCAGTTTTTCTTAATTTTTTTGCCACCGAAAAGGCCTCGTTCAGAACAATAATTGAATATGCAATTTCGAAAAGGGCACATATCGCATATTTACACAAATGCACTTAGCAAATAGTAGATGCTTGCTTTTTCGGTTAGATATCGAAAGACTTATTAAAACTATGAAATTTTTTACATTTTATGTTATAGTACGACTACTACATTTGCTCATTGTCGTCGACAAAATTGGAAATAAATTTTATTTGGCATGGTCGACAATTTCAGTCCTATAGACAAGATGTTGTGTATTCATAAGAGCATGTGTATTGATAATTTGACTGATGCTGTCTGTCGCTTGCGGTCGTTGTTTCTAACGTGAAAGGTACTTGCAGTAACTTAGCAAGTCAAGAAGATAGTGCAAAAGTGAAAGTGACACCTAAAATAAAAGTTTCGTCGGCCACTGTGGTGTAGTAGTAAGCAGTGCGCGCTTTCACTCCTTAGCACCTGGGTTCAAGCCATAGTCAAAGCAACATCGCAAACAAAAAATATAGAAAAAGGTTTTTTCTTAACAGCGGTCGTCCCTCGGTAGGCATTGGCAAACCTCCGAGTGTATTTCTGTCATGAAAACCAGCTTCTCATAAAAATACATTTGCCGTTCGGAGTCGGCGTAAAACTGTGGGTCCCTCCGCAAGGCGCACGCCACATGTCGGAGGAGAAGCTCGGTCAATCACTAACATATGTGCAAGCGCCAATCTATTATTATAAAATAAAAGTTTCGACAAATGTATATTAGTTTTTTCTTTAAATCAATACAGTAATTTTCGAAAAAGGCACATCTCATAAACTTAAAATATATATCTATACACATACATATAATAGCATTAATAATAAACATTTCTTGAACTTGAACTTTCGAATGATAACTGACCCCAAAGTGCAACAAGATGTTTGTTTTCAAATTTTATTTTTCTTTTTGTTTTAAATAATTAGTCTTTTTTACTTCCTGAAAAGTTTTAGTACTTAGACATACGCCCTTTTCGAAATCGCATATTCACTTGAACAATGCCTAACCCTTTTTAGCAAGGTCGTCATCATTTTTGAGAGCTTTAGATTCATTAGTACATATAAAAACAAAAATCTAGGAATTGTAATTCCAAAATTAGTGAAGGTTTGAATTACAATGGGTTTGAAGGCCAACACTGTTTAATGGCCAATCATAGTCTTAAGCGAGACCTTTTTAGCGACAACGAGATTTTAAAAATCGGATATAAAAGAAGAAAGTGATAGCAAAAAACTCGACTTAGTGTTTTTTAGAGGGTGACTAACAATTATTTTACACCCAGAATTTTCTCTCGACATAAGAGTTTATACAAAACTAAACTTTTTTCAATTCATATGTCGTGCTAAGGCTTAATATACATACATATTTTTACCTTAACATAGAAAGGGCCCGTCTAAGAGTTTGTGCCTTTATAGAGTAGTTACAGAACTTTTAAAAACTAAAGAACTAAAGTTGGGAATTTCCTTCAAAATCCTGGGTTTAAATAAACACCGAAACAAATTTTTTTGATGCACTAGATCTTTTTAATCTCTTCTCTGTGAACCTGCACCGTAGATGCAAATTAAGCTGTAATGCAATCAGGCGACACGCTCTAGCTATAAGGAGCGTAGAAGACTTGGTCACCTAAAAGCACTAGGCTTGCAGACTACACTACAGGTTTTGAACTACGGCAAACTTAAATCGGAGTGAATGAGGAGAAAAATCGTAGCAGAAAATAACACTCCATAGTAGATATTTTTTTTTGTAAATTGCTCGTTATAATTTGTTTTTTTTTACCTTTCTAAACTTCTAAGTTTCCTCAAAAATCGTAGTAAATTACTCTGAACATAATGTCGTATACACCTACAGCAGAGGATAAGAAGTAGTGTATGTATATTCGCGCAAGTTTCATTTAAATAAAGATTTTAATAGCTAGTGTGTTCCAAGTTAACAAGTAATTTTTATTTGTGCAAAGTCAAGCCGCTACGAAATCTTTAGAATTCTTCTTAATTTTCTTTAAAATAGCTATCGAATGTAGACATATTCGAAATGGGCTGGCATCCAAGGGTTCCAGAACCCAAACATGTACCAGTTAATTGTGCGGCAGATCAATTCCCAGGGCGAGCACGTCCCTTTCTATCACAAATATATCCCATCAAGCGGGGAGACAACTTTCATCCTGTGGTGGCTTAAAACCTAATTCGGCGAACTGTGAAACAGAAGGTAGACAACATAATCAAAAGACTATGGAGAGCGCCGCAATATGTCTGCAACGAAAATATGTATATGTATAGCAATGGTTAAAGCTGTAGTGGACAGCAGCTGAGAAAATTATAGAATAAAACTGCGGAATCATCATCCCTGTGCAACACAATAAATCCATCCCGCCTGCGAAGAAGAGATCTGCTAGCCTTGTGTCGAGCGACGCTTAGCCAGCCGGGCACAACCTCAGGGTCTGAGCTCTATTATAGCAAATTAGAGTTAAAATTTTTAGACTTGCAGTTAGGATTAATAACGTATAATATAAGCATATTCAACAAATAAATAAATGTAAAAAAAAAAAAATAATCCATAACTCTGTTTGTATGTAAATATGTATGCGCTAAAACACATGTCCTCAGATGTGATAAAATAAAATATTTTCCCACAAAATCAGCATAGTGTTGATGGAGGTAAAATGGCAAGAAAAGGAAGAGTAAGTGTAAATTGCTTTCATTTCCCGTTTCCTGAAATATTTTTTTTTTATAAAAACTGAGCTAAGAGGCTAAGAACTGTGCTCAAAGGTGGCATGCATACGCGCGTAATACAAATAAAAGAATAGACTCGGGAACAGTTTATGAGAATACATACAAACCAACTTTTATCAAAGTAGAAGAAAAAGCAAAAGTTCTTAAACAAATTTTTTACGCTATACTATTTATAATTTTTCTTTTGCTCTTCTCTTTGCTTCGTTCAGGTGTTGTTTTTTGTATTTGCCTATTTCGCTGAATCACGAACTAATCAGCCAATGAAGCATTTAACACATGTGTTGGCCAGAATTCACCAGTACCTTAGTAGGCATACATATGTATGTACCAAGGTTGTTGCGGATATTCGCATTCGCATTCGCAACCGCGGAGCTTCCGCATTAATTTTAACATTCGCATTCGCAATAATCAATGTGGAGCTTTTGCGAATGCGAATGTTGTGCAGGAGCACCTATAAAGTGTATATCTGGCAAACAAAATGACAAATTGTAGCCAATATTTGATGAAAATGTCTTTAAATATATTATGGGTATCCATGGAAATGCGTAAATGCCTCGAACCGCGTAAAATTTGATTTTTCATACAAAATTAAGTAAGTTTACGAGGTTTACATGGTTACGAGGCATTTGCGCGATTTGATGAATTGCCTTATTATTTCTTAAGCTATATAACCGAGGCAGCAATGGGCAGTCATACAAATTTCTATTTTTACTTGACCTTTGGCAAACGTCAAGCTTTGACGTACGTCAAAGAGAACATAGTCCTTTTAATAAATTTTTTCTTCTATGCTTTAAATACCTGCATTGGTTTCGTTTTTATTCTGACTTTTTTGGACCAATCTTAAAAAAAAATACTACAAAAGAATAAAGTGTAATTCTTAACCAAATTTTCATGCTTTTGATGTTATATATGTATATTCGTTTCAACCATTACAAATGGAACTCTTTGGAGAATTTATTTCTATTAAACATTTTAAAAGCAGTAATTTTCTTTGCTTGTCGGGCAGTATTTTTTCATACGGGTATACGCTGGACCTTGGCTGAGAACTTCTGTGGTAAAACAACTGCCCCCCTACGTCTCCCTTCTTTGCTATCTAAAGTCAAAGAGTAAGGATTTCCAGCAGAAATGATAAATGTCTGGCTATTAAGCGAATCGATGCTCAAATAATTAAAAAGCTATAGGTCTGACTTTTAATTAGATAAGAATTACGTAACTATCTGAGACCCTGGCCATCAGTAATTCCAATAAAGCAAATACTTATAAAAAACGGGTTGCTTTTTTTTAAATAACAATATTCCGATCCGATTCGGTAGAATTTTGTTCAAAATTTTCATTCATATCCACCTATGTGTTTAACTCCCTACAAGGACACATTTTTCAAACCAGTCGGAGAAGGCAGTATTTGAATTACAAAAACTACAATAAAAAAATGCTGATGATGTTACAGGTTCCCCTAATTCTGAAACAGCCCAAGGAATGAGAATGAAGAATTCTTTTTAAAAAGCTTTACAAAGACCTGACACATCTTGTTTGGCTTGTAAGTGCTGTTTAAACAACGATTTCGCTATTATGCTAGATTCTAATTGTTTCTTGTACAACTTGACATCCGCATCCGCATTCGCATCCGCGGATGTCTAAAATTCCACATTCGCAACAACCCTAGTATGTACATAAGTACATATACGGCTTGAGCAGTGCTGGGCTGCTGGCCAAACATGGTGCGCCGGAAAGAGGTTGTAGGGGCAAAACGCAGGAGGTACACACTCACCTTTGCTGTTGACTATGCTATTTCCGCCGTGTGGTAAGCCGCTTAGTGCTGCTCTTTTCTGCAATTGTTGCGATTTTATTGTGTGGACATATTCTGCTTTAAATGGCGTGCTGGGTCCATTATTTTTGTTGCTTTTGCATGAGCGTCACCTCATTGGCTTGGGGTAGGTTGCTCACGCTTGTGTGCGATTTGAAGCACTTAATGGATTAGATGTGTATAAATCGGGGAAAACACATTTATCTATTATGTATTGCTGTTCTGCGCAAAAGATTTTGATTTTGCAGAAATACAGACAATTTTTGCGATTTACGTTCGCTGGCACTTTTAAACACGTGTGAAAATTATCGGTAATTAATTTCTTACCGGAGAAGTATTGGACGCAATGTATTATTGAGATTTATCGAAAAAATTAGAATAGAAAGTCAATACTTGTTTGAAAATACCTTCATTCATATTTTCGTGAATTTTTTCTTGGTTCACACACCTTTTCACACATAAATACCGAGTATCTATAAAAAATCACTAAAAAAATGTGCAAGGCCAATGGGAATCGCTGACCGGAACGGCAGCAAGTGGAAGCTGCGCTGTGACAGGAAGCGCCGTTCACTGCCAATTTTTGTTTGCATCGTCTGGATACACCATTTGTCACCATTCATTTCCACATCATTCAAAAAAAGTCATACTACAACAAAATCATAAGCTTATCTGTGAGGAATAGCATTTGCACTACATATTTTCGTTTTAAACGAAAATGAAGATTTGGAAAATTTTTCATAAATAAAAAAAAAAAAACTGTAGCTAACCGTTGCACATACGCCCGTATCGCAATAGAGCGTGATATATGTACGCGCACACGTCCACTTTTCACAACCGCAACGCATCGACAACAAATTCCAACTAGCCGCTGTGAACGCAACGAATATGCACAAGTGCAGTCCAATTGGACACCAATGCCGTAAGTATTGCAAGTTGCTTTTTGTCGGCTTAACGTCTGAGTAGCTGCTGAGCACCGCCCGGAATGACTGCATTGCGAGCTCGAATGAATTGTGGACTGTGGACTGGTGCTGCATCTGCGCCGATAATAATAGCAAAACTGAAATTGTTATTGGCAAAAAACCAGTGGCTGTGTAAACAACTTTTGAATGCAGCAGAAGAGAAGCTGCAATAAACACTGCCGGGGCAGAAATTACAAGCAATTGCATTCTGCGGAAATAAAATATATACCCCCTAAACAAGATCCGTTAAACAAGTTTCAAGGGGTTAGCAAATGCGTATGCTGAGGTTATCTTATTTTGAAAACGAAGACCGTTCTGGAACAGAAAATTACAAATTAGGCTGTGTTAAGACGTCGACAGTAGCTTGTAAGCGCGGATGAAGATGTAAGGAAGTCAATGGAGGTGTTTGCATAGTGTATTTATTCTACTGGAAACTTTATAAATCTGGACTGGGAATTTACAAGCCCGAAATAAGAAAGCGAAAAGATAAAAGATGAGGCTGCCCTCTCTCAAATTGTATGTCTCCGAAACCGAACCGCAGTATACCTGCACAGCTGGAAAGGCCTATCGAGTTTTTTGTTGTTGCAGCATCATACAAATTTCCCAAAGTGTTTTGGGAACTGATGCTGGAGTGACAGACCTTGTTGGTCAGATATGAATGTAGGTCGTTCCCGTTTAATTGATCCGACTATCGTGGGAGCGCGCTATGGAGTTGCCGTCAAGGTGACTGGCTTAAATTTACGGAAATAGCGTGAGAAGTGGGTATATCCAAGGAGCTTCAGGGTGATGCATGCTTATCGTCACTAGACACGAATAAAAATACACCATTGTTTTGACGCTGAAAAAGGACGCATTGACGAAAAAAGACGCGTAAAAATTTTTGGCGAAAACAGACGTGTAAACCTTGTTAACGGCGAAGAAAGATGGGTAAACATAGATTTGTACCTAGCCAAAGACTGGTACTTCAGCATTATTCCTCAAATCCCCTTAGACAATATACATATAAATACACTCGCAAACATAGTTGATCCCGAAAATAATTCACGCGTCTTTCTTCGCCGTAAAATAGATTAACGCGTCTTTCTTCGCCGTCGCCTTTCTTCGCTGAAGTTTTTATACCCGAGCGCACTTGTGCACAAGGGTATTATAACTTTGTTCACATAACGGTTGTTTGTAACAGGCAAAACGAATCGAGATAGATATAGACAAATGTATACATAAATGATCAGAATGAACAGAGAAATCGATTAAGCGGTGACTGTCTGTCCGTCCGTCCGTCCGTCCGTCCGTCCGTCCGTCCGTCCGTCTGTGCACACGATAACTCGAGTAAAAATTGAGATATCTTAACGAAACTTGGTACGTGAACTTCTTTTGGGCGTGGGACGGATGGTATTGAAAATGGGCGAAATCAGATAATAACCACGCCTACCTCCCATATAACGGTAATTTTAAGAAATACGAAAACTGCGATATTTTAGTAACTACTGAAGATAATCCACTCAAAATTTAAACTTACAATGAGTTTCAGACGGAAAACATGAATATTAAAAATTTTTGGAAAATGGGCGTAGCCACGCCCTCTTATGGTTGCATGTGTATATCTTGGTAACTGCTGCACCAATTTCTTCCAAACTTGGCACAGTTGTTGGCCTTAGTACAGCATACTAAATGGCTGAAAATTTTAAAAATCGGACAATAACCACGCCTACCTCCCATATAACGGTAATTTTCAGAAAAACGAAAACTGCGATATTTTAGTAACTACTGAAGATAATTCACTAAAAATTGATATTTGCAATGAGTTTTAGACGAAAAATAAGAATATTACAAAATTTTGGCAAATGGGCGTAGCCACGCCCACTTATGGTTACATGTGTATATCTTGGTAACCGCTACACCAATTTCTTCCAAACTTGGCACAGTTGTTGGTCCTGCTACAGCATACCAACTTGCTGAAAATTTCTAAAATCGGACAATAAGCACGCCCACATCCCATATAACGGTAATTTCGAGAAATACAAAATCTTCGATAAATCAGTAAATATTGAAGCAAATTTATTCAAAATTGATGATTGCAACAATTCTTTACCAAGAAATACGTTTATGACAAAATTTTGGAAAATGGGCGTAGCACCGCCCACTTGTGATCACATATATGTATATCGGTAACCGTTCTACCAATTTGTACCAAACTCGGTGTGGTTACTGTGCTTGCCACTTAAAAGCAAAACGTTGAAAGTTATTGAAATCGGACTAAAATTACGGCCGCTTTTTATATAACGGTAAATTTCAGAAATGCTTGAAACTGCAATATTTCGCACCCCGGCTTATCATGTAGCGGTAGCTTTCGGAAAGGTGGAAAACATATATTTAATACTTGCGCCGGGTATTTAATGTTCGGCTCCGCCCGAACTTAGACTTTCTTACTTGTTTTTTATGCGTCTTTTTCCGCGGTCAACTTTTGAGGTCGCGCCTTTATTCGTGTCTAGTGACGTTATAATAATAGAGAATAAAGAAATGTCTGCGAAGACCGAGCTTCACAGCGAGTGAAGCTGCGCTTGCTACAGCGCTGAGTGAAAAGATGCACACTGTAAGAAGTAGTACTCCATCTTTCTTCTTTGTAGTCGTGAGCAACCTATTTAAGGAGTTGCAGCAGAGCGCAAGCCCCAGACAACTTGGCACATACGCTAAAAAGAGAATTTTTAGGCAACCTATACGATTTGGCCTAAGGCTATCTAAACTGCGTGACTAAAAGGGCGCTAATCTCGGCGTCGCTGTCAATCAGCCATTCCCTAATTTGGCGCTTCAAAATGTTTAGCGCTCTAATTTAGGGATGTCTGAATCCTAGCGAGACAGAACTGATGTAAATTATTAGGAAATACAAGAAGTGTTTATACGCTCTTTCTAACTCTCTGAAGAAATCAACTACCGATTTGAAATCGAATGTTAACCGAAACAATTCGTGCTTTTAAAGCGAATCAAAATTCAATTTATACGTATGTTTTGAGTAGTGGCGAATTGAATTAAAGCGACTTATTCCTGCGTATAAACGTAGTAACAGATATCCGACGTAAATATTCCCTCAATTATAGACCGTCGCTTGCGCAAGCTGGCGCGGAATCCTCACAATGAGGAAGGAATCAGCTAATTTTTATCACTGCCACCGATCTATTAGTTAAACAAATGGCCCTCGTCCAAAGTAATTTATTGGCTCTAAAACACCAAGGCTAAGATTACTATGCTTTATAGAGCTCTCGCCTGGTGAAATTTGTCAGAGAAAACTTAAGCAGCTAGAGTGCATGCAGCGGGCTGCCCTCACTCCCACTCTGCCGCTTAACGCCTGTTGGGAATACAGGCAAAACTGACATGGCACAGGCTACAATTAAGCTCAGGGCAATAGGATATATAACAAGCCCCACTACGTAGCACTCTGAAAGCCTAAAGGTCTTCGATTTCGTCACTGAATACTGCCCATGGGTTTGCCGTCAATACCGGTCGATCGAATCTAATCGGATAGCTAAGCGGCAAACAAAGCCCTGAACTCACTAATGGTGTGTTCAAAGTTGGTCAGGGATTGAAGGACCTCTAAACACTATTGCGCCGGAATATTTTCTAGTTATACTTATATGGCTACCAAGCCATAGTGACATTGCTGAAAACTTCATGGCTGAGGAGTCGACTTGAAAGGGTTTCCTTGAAATGATATTACCGAACAGGGAGCGGCTTCATGTCAACTCAGTGTACGGTTATTAGACAATTGCAAAGTTCTTTTGGCCTAGAGTGGATCTGGGGCGGTAAACGGAGCTTCTGACTGCTTACGCAGCCATAGTTATATCTTTATTTAGGGTTGTGACCAGTCACTGTCCTATCGGACCACCTTACTGACTACCGCATACTAACCTTTCGCAATCACTATCGAAATTATTTTTCGGGGATTCGGATAGTATGGAGTCGTTGGTAGAACTAGATGGATTGGCTGAGGAGTGGTAGGATCCCATTTTATTGGGAAACCTTTTAATAAGATCTTTGATACCCAAATAACTTTATAAATCAAACTAAAACTGAGAGATATCCTACACTGGAAAAGATTCGAAAAATAACTTTTTCATTCGAGTTTTCCAGTGTTTGATCTTAAAGGCATCTCTGACTTTAAATGCAACCAATTCAACAACACCGCAGTTAGTTCAAAGGCAATGAGATGATTTCATCGAGGTCTACGTAATGTAACATTAACGAATGCTACCAATATTTTGTTCTAACTTAAAGGCAAATCAGTAAGCTAGAAGTCGTTAAGAGTGCACCAGCCAGCTGACTAGGCCAACGTTAGCCAAGAAGAAATGAATCGACAAATAATATAGATATGAAATTAGTAATATGTGGTAGCCAAAATGAATTTGTGGAATTTCGTGGACATGGGTCGGAAAATGAACTTTATAATTTCCACTCTCAACTCTCTCTTCCGGCAACAGTCGTTCTCTTCGCTCTCGCCGTATTCACTGTTTATTTCAGTGTTTTCTTTTGTTGGTTGTTATTCAGCTGATTTTTGCAATACATCTTTACCGGCTTTTGCTTTTGTTTGCATTGTTGTTGCTGTATGGCGCATGTGTATCAACTACTCACGTGCATTGGGAGTGTTAGCCGGTGTTTGTTGTTACTCATCAGCTGCTTTTATTTTGGTTTCTTTTGTTCATTCGGTATCGGCATCATTTTGGTTATAACTTGGCGTGGTTTTGGGGTGGAGGCACGTCAGTTAGTCATTCAGTCAGTCACGTCTTCGCTAGCGCCACATCGCATATCCGATCTGAGTCTACTCTACGAGGAGAGTAATTTTTATTGTTGTTTTACAGGTTCAAGGGGTGGTTGGCGAAACAACTGCAGCTGCGCTGTTCCAATACCCTTTGTTATTGCATTTGCTGTTGTTATTGATTCCATTGTAAGGACATTTGGAGTGATGTTGACG